AGTACAAAAGAAAACTAATCTCTCTCAAAGGGTCATTTAATACCATTTTTCGAGAGTTTTTTTTATCAGCTGGTGTAGCATATGGAGCACAGAATACGTAGACCTTCACCCAATACAAATCTGTAAACAGGATGTGAGTCAACGACCTTATGAGAACAGCACTTAATGAACAAAACTTAAACTTGATGACTTGATGTCCTAAAATAAAATCCATTGTTCCCTTTCTCACTATTGTGAGATGTTTCTTTTCCTCGATCAAGCCCCCAGAGGTCAGTGTGGCTTTAGTTGTGTGGTACAAGTCCAGTACAGGGTTTTGCTGCCACCTGGTGCTCATGTCATTGGTGCCAATTAAAAATGTAGCCAATGCACAGACACATTGTTAATATGTTAAAAAAAACAATGTTGTTCTTTCTCTAAACTAATATTTTTCTGAAATGCACACACATTATATTTCCACAGCCAGCCTATATAAACGTGCATGCACTTATATTGCTGGAAAATTCATCAACCACTCAAAAACATGACAATCTGTTTCCCACGCATCTCAGGTGGAAGGAATGAAACTATATCAACAAGGACATGAGAAAAAAATAGAAGGACTCCAGCTGGCTGATAATGGGCAGATGTTTAGTCTTAAATGTCCTTGTGATAGCGTAAGATGTAAAAACAGTTTTAACATGCCTCCACTTTATTCCGTGGCTCATTTTGCAGTATCCTCCTCGCTTTGCTCCATCGGCTCTTTTAATGTAGGTGAGTTAGGCTCCATGGATAAAAAGGTGGTGCTTATCACAGGCTGCTCCTCGGGGATCGGTCTCAGCTTGGCTGTCCGGCTTGCCTCAGACCCGGACAAAACATTCAAAGGTAACCACAGCTGTGTATGTGTCAGTCTTCTCTTTGAGAATATACATTACATTAAAGACTGGCTTTTAAGAACCAGTAAAACCACTAAGATGATGTACACTGTGCAATTTTATGTGACCTACACAAATAACTTAGCAGATGAATCTTCCATGCACATTGTTAATTAAATGTTGTGTGAAAACCATTTACCTCTTTGGGGGTCTACTCTGTAAATTCCTTTTTACATACACATTCAAACTCATCATTAACTGAAGCTTTCTGTTCAGTGTATGCAACAATGAGAAACTTGTCTAAAAAGGAGCGTCTTTTGGAGAGCGTGAAAGGCCTGCACAGGGACACTTTGGACATACTCCAAATGGATGTGACCGATCGGCAGTCCATCCTGGATGCAAGAGATAGGGTTGTGGAAAAACGCATAAACATTCTGGGTATGGACCCGTGCCAGTGTGTTCCGATTAGGATTGGAAAATGTGATTTGAGTGGGTTAATGTGCTTATCCTTGCTATTTGCAGTGTGTAATGCTGGTGTGGGTTTGATGGGGCCACTGGAGGTGCAGTCTTTGAACTCAATGAGGCACATCCTGGAGGTTAACCTCCTAGGTACCATCCAGACCATCCAGGCATTCCTGCCACAGATGAAGGCTCAGAGCCAGGGACGCATTCTGGTCACTGGCAGCACCGGAGGCCTTCATGGTGAGAAGTGCAGATGGTTGAGGAATGTCAACAATGTTCTGCATGTGCAGTTTTTGTAGTGATTTGATGGAAACCCTATAATTAGATCATGTTGATACTTGTTACCATGCATAGAATTTCCAAAATAAGCTTTTTGAGTTTCTTATAGGGCTCCCATTTAACGAGGTCTACTGTGCCAGTAAATTTGCAATAGAGGGAGCATGTGAGAGTTTGGCTATTCTCCTGAAACACTTCAACATTCAGTAAGTTTCATAAGTTGGCTGCATGTTGTCTCGTTAGTTCAAAGACTACTTGTGTGTATAAAATTAAGACGCAAATATGAATTAAGATACACCATTGTCCAAATGCTACATCCTACAGTGTGAGTCTCATTGAGTGTGGTCCAGTCAACACTGACTTCTTGGTCAACCTGAAGAAGACGGAGCTTGGGGATACGTCTCTCCAACAGGTTGACACCCAGACACAAAGGCTGTATGAAAAATACCTGCAGCATTGTAGATCTGTTTTCCAAAATGCTGCACAAGACACTGAGGATATTGTGAAGGTATGTTCCATGTTTACAGAAAATCATAACTTCATTAATTTCTATTTGAGGTTTTAAAAAATGGCAACATTTAATTACATTTGCTTAATTTTATAGGGACAATGCATTTTAAGTATGACAATTGTTGTCCATAGTTGACCTTTTACATCCACAATACACAGCCTGAAATAACATATTATGTCTGCAGGCTGGCATGCAAAATAAGAAAGGAGTTAAGTAATATTAAATCATTTTAAAATACACTGAATCATTTTCTTTTTTCTGTTAAAATAAAATTAATACATCCCTCAACACTTATCATTCAGTGATTTAACCCAGACATTGATCATTTTAGAGCTCAAATAAATGAGTGAGCTTTCATGTGCTAACCACACACATATGTATAAAATTTATTTAAATCTCTAAACGTGTCTACTATTATGTGTTTGGTTTTTTCCTGAAGGTATTTCTAGATGCCATCCAGTCACCCAGCCCTGCCTTCAGATACTTCACCAGCACTACTGGGCCACCTGTAACCCAACTGAAGGCCACAGAACCAGATGACTCATACATCAGTGCTATGAGCAAAATCATTTTCTCAACTGAGGAGCAATAATTTTGTAACGACTGCATCACTTCGTGTGTAAATGTTGTTCCTGTTTTACTTTATGTACACGGGTTAATGTTTTGCTCAAATACCCTTGACTCCTGAAACACAGTCTAAAGTAGAGTTCACAGGATTCACTCCATGTTCTATTTTTGTGTAAGGCCTAAACATAGTACTCCTTATCATAAAACAAAAATGTAAAAATAGACTCTGTTCTAGTTGGTGGAGACATTTTTGATAAGCATTATTCCTGATGCTTGAGCGATAGAGCGGCTTCTGCATTCCTCTAGTTCCACCCACACTAGCTTGCATATTTTTACTTTGAGCTATCGTGCTTCAAATCACTGCATTCATTATAAAAGTCAAAACACTGTTTGCAAAATTTTCGTAGGCGATTTTTGATTTGCTGTTTTAAGCACAAATGGTCATATAGGGGACTTCTGTATGAATGACAGACACTATATGTTTCTTTTCTATAGCTTGCTTAAATGCTTGCTTTAAATTTCCCATTCTGGCATAAATATGTAAAGAATATATCAATAAATGAAGTTTTTAAATACCTGAAATAACTTGAATAATTTGGCTTGTATACTTTTTGTGAATTTATCTACAGGTGCTATTGTGGCCCCTGCACAGTATCTCTGTCTGCAGTAAGGGAAAACTGCTATGACTATTTGATAATGCAGATAAAGTATCATAAAGCATATTTCATAAGTATTCATTGTTATGTAAGGGATTATGTGAAACAGTGAAATTGTGCAACAGTTTCCATTTATACAGCTAGTTCTGACTACTAACTCTGTCCACTGATCATATATATTCCCACAAAAAACAAACAAATGACCTAATTTATAGATAATTACATAATAACACTGGAAATTTAACAAGTGTGTTTTATCCCAGAAGCCTGCATGTTGTAGGCAAATTTTCGTATGTACCCATTACAAAGGGTGTATGATGATATCTATCAGCTGATTGACTACAGGCCTGTCAACGATTATATGTAGCTACTAAGATGGAAGTACAAAAAATACTATTTCAGTGACATCTTTACACAACAGTGACATTAAAAAAGACAAAGGCTAATAGAAATTATGATTCAAGATCAGAGAAACAAAGAACGGCCTTGAGTGGCTTTCCATTTTAAATGAAATCTAAGGAGTTTTAAATACTAAGGAAAGTAAAGAAATCTTGTTGTGTTATAATAGATTACAGGGATAATCTTAACATACTGACGTTTAGCTTTTAAAGCAATGAACTCTGTAAAGTTAAATGTATAAAGACTGAAGGAGGGCCAGCTGGCACAGCATCCGTTCCTTGTGTCTGGCTCAGTCTGGGGTTGTTGAGCCCATGAGTAGTTCCTATTCTAACATGAGACAGGTTATCTTGTCTGCAACTAGAAGTTTCTGACCTGTCCTTAATAAGACTAATGGTGCTTCTTAAACCCTTCCCTTCTCAAGTGCCCTAATTCCACTCTCGAAGATACTTAAATGGATCTTGCACCGCCTCTTCTCGCTGTGTTACCTCATAGCCACTTAATTCAGCAACACTTAAAGGCATGCTGACTTTCAAGTGTCAGCTGTATTACGGAGATCTGTGTAGTAAGAATTAGGCAACAGCTGTTGTATAATGTATGAAAACTAAATCTAGTTTTTCTCCTGTCCCAAAGCTAGCCTACTTCTACATTAAACATTACCTCTACAGTCACTGTGAACTTTATCTTTATTACTCTGTATTCAAGTCCAAGTTCATCATGTGCGCACATCGTGTGCTTTCCTGGACTCGAGTTGGCTTGATCTTTGAAACCTTAAAAAGTTCTTTGAACTTGGTTGTCAAACACTTTAATTCAGTCACAAATTAATCCTAGGGTCCATGCAGCTGACTGAACGTGGCCATGCCTTTTCAATATGTGGGTTATATATAAGGCTACGCAACTATAGTTGGTCCTAGTATCACTTCATAAATACACACTAAACGATACAAAATCTACTTCTTATGCCTTTGCACACATTTTTGAGGAAACACGTGGTTCAACCCGGAAACAGTAATAAGAAAGAGCAAAACAGAAATCCACTGAGAATATAGATCCTATTGCCCAACATTTTTGTAACTGTCTATCTGTGTAAATTTATCTTTTGAGACACAAACAAACAAACAACTCCACATTTTGAGAGTAGCCTAGCTATTTTTTGTTCTAATTTAGGAAGTATTGCTGTCTTAATCGCCGGTGATTTAAAGTTCACCTCAAAGTGACCTGATTGGCCAAAGGCTGCCGCGCTTCCTGTTACGTCACTGCTCTTTTATTAGATAAGCGGTGCGGCTCTTCATTCGGACCAAAGTTCGGTTACTATAGCTGGTTTGAACACTTTAGTACGCGTCACCACAAACTAGGGGGGAAAAATGACCAACAAGACGACTCCTGTTCTCCTCAAAGCGCTGCTGGAGCTATATGAAGCCCACTCTTCAAAGGTTGTCCGGGGAAACACTAAAAGAGCAAATTTCAGGTGAGTCAAAGGAATTTTAAAACCAAGGTTTGCCCAGGTGGGTGTTTGAGTAACGGCATTTGCAGTTGCGCTTGTTTTATTGGTCACAGGATAATTCAAATATAGTTTAATCTTGTACATTTTTTTTTCTTTTTTAGTAATGGTAGGTTTTATTTGTAGTATATGAAAGAAGTAAGTAAACCAACGCTTAAGATAGTCAAAGGAGCTTGCAAAGAAAAGCGTCTGGACTTCTTTAAGTTGCTTGAAGACGTTTCACCTCTCATTCGAGAAGCTTCTTCAGTTCTAAGGTCAAATGGTGGAGAGTCCCAGATATAAACCTAGTGGGAGAATCCCCCCACAAAGGGACCCCCTGATGATCCTCTAATCGCCTGAGCCAAGGTGTGAAACTGGGTGTGGGTCCCAATCAGCCAGAGTTTCGGGTGAGTTCATTGTGAAACCTGGCCCCCCCTTATCATGCGAATTCCTGAGGTCAGATGGCCCAGGATGTGAGTGGGCGTTAAGGCGTCTGGGAAGGGATCTCAAAACTGGATTATAGATGGCAGAGAGTTGGTGTCGTAAACCCCCGCCTCTGTTCAAAGATGGTCGCTCACAGTGGACATAGATGGCTTCTTTCACTCCTCTTTCAAACCATCTGTCCTCTCTGTCCAAAATGCGAACATTGGCATCCTCGAAAGAGTGTCCTTTATCCTTAAGATGCAGATGGACTGCTGAGTCTTGTCCTGTGGAGGTGGCTCTTCTGTGTTGTGCCATGCGCTTGTGAAGTGGCTGTTTGGTCTCTCCAATGTAGAGGTCTGAGCATTCCTCGCTTTTGTCCCTCTGTGGGGGGTTTCTCCCACTAGGTTTATATCTGGGACTCTCCACCATTTGACCTTAGAACTGAAGAAGCTTCTCGGATGAGAGGTGAAACATCTTCAAGCAACTTAAAGAATGGCCATACATTAAAATATTGTGGGATTTTTATATAATAGCATAGTGATTGAACAGATGATTAAAGAGCTCACAAATATGATTTCCTCTCCTCAGGATCTTGGGTTCTTGTGGGATCCTGGAAGCAAGAAGGGCAAGCCTCCAGTTCTCCCCCAGCACCTGTGTAAGCACGCCAAGCAGAAGCTTCATTAACCTGGCAGCTCCCATCACTAACCGCAGGATGGAGTACACTGAGTGTCGGACGTTGGGGTGAGTGCCCCCTTGCAAAAGGACTAAAATAATTATGTGAAATGTAAACAAAATAACAGATAATGGCTTATTTGAAGAAATTCTAAAAACTTGAGTCTTATCTGAGTACCTTTTACTATGTACAATAAGTTTTAAAGTGAACAGTGTTTTGGGGTCATATTTCAGGCAGAGTTGATGAGCGTTAGTTTAATCCTCTTATCTTGTATAGCAGTCTACAGAATTTCTTTGGGTTCTGGATAAACCTGAAAAAATGGATGCAGAGGATAGAAACTGAAGTGTTTCTGGTTTTATGTGACTGTGTGTTCAGGTATACTCCAGAGCAGATGTACAGTGTGGTGGCAAGTGTGGACCAGTATCAGCACTTTGTTCCCTGGTGCAAGAAGTCTCGGGTCATGAGGGGGCGAAACGGTGGCCTCCTGGCAGAGCTAGAAATCGGTTTCCCCCCTCTTGTTGAGCGATACATCTCTGAGGTCACTATTGTTCCAAACTACCAAGTCAGGGTAAGTGTCTGGTCTCTTACTTTTTAATCAACACCTACTGAAACACTCATATAAAAACATTTATGACATGTGGAAAGCTCTTTTTACTGTAGGCCACCAGTTAAGATGAAACGAATCACCGTTTCAAGATGGAAGGAAAATATGACTGTCTTAATGCCATCATTACATTAAAGTATACATGTTTTTTACAGACCTGAGGGTTTAATATTAGACTTGTTTGACTATCACTTAACAAAAATGTGCTTTTGCATAAAATTATTTGTAAAACTTTCATTATTAATCGGTATATTCCACATTTTGCACAGCACTGTAGACAGTTTCTATCGGCATAATGCTTTATTTGTGATTTTTATGAGTTTGATGCCTTGTTGCAATTCTTGATGAAGAATCAACTGTTTTCAAACAGGCTGTATGTACTGATGGATCTCTCTTCAGCCATCTTGAAACAATATGGAGGTTTTCCCCTGGAGACGGAAACGCAGCAGACTCGTGCAAAGTGGAATTCTATGTAAGTGTTTGTGGTACACTTAATATTTGACACTGGAAGCCATCTGGTTGTGCAGCAGTACGCTGGCATAAAACTACACTGACAGTGACCTTTTGCATTAATGATTAACCCTTGGATGCACAACCTACCAATACCTACACTCTTCCACGGTTGGGGTCAAAAATGACCCCAAATAGAAACAGTGCATTTTGCTATAAACTCGGTTGTTATTCTTCAAAATCTTTGAAACAAAGATTTGTAATATTTTCATATTTGAGTTATTCCTCATAAAACTTGATTGTGACATGAGGCCCTTTGCATTTTATTTTTTCATTAATTTTAAGAAATTGCAGTTTTTGTATCCTTGTATCACTTTTGTATGCTTGCTCTGCATATACTGCAGAAGCTGGGTCTTCCCTCTGAAAGGCACAAGTTGTTCATCCACTGTAACACAATCACTGAGGATGAATTTCTGCCTGCAGTTGACCAGGAACAGGCCCCATATGTAGCAGAAAGCTGCCATGTGGTTTGTTTTCAGTCGGTAGGCTCTGGTCCTCTTGTCATCAAAGTGCAAGAAACGGCGAATATGTTCAAAACTTTGAATTGACATAGTGGCCTTGTACAATGGGTTATGCAGATGACTCCCAAAAAAACACACCGACTGGTACATCCCAGTTCTTCTGACTTCCTGCAAGAATGGTCAATCAAATGAAGGCCAGGAGCTTATGTTTGATTACATTTTTCCACTCTTCCCCTGTCTGTGGCTTCTCTTCGTGCCTCCATGTTTGTGTATGGCAGCACCTCTTCTATTATATTATCAGACATGAACATCTTCCATGCATCTATTGGGGAGACGGTACTAAACCCAGGTGCAAGCCCTGGCCGACTAATTCAGAATATTGTGGGGGGTCATTTTTGGCCCCACGTGTGCATCTAAGGGTTAAAGGAATTGCAAAATTAGATAACATACTTGGCTGAGACTAATTTCTTGTTGTAAGTTCTTGCACGGCTTTCAAGTGGATTATCAGCAAAGAGGAAGTATTGCGTAAAACCCTATTATCGTCTAAATTTAGTCTTGAGTATCACACCGGTGTCCCTTGAGGCCTGAAATAGCCATCAGAGAATAGTGTTAAGGAGCTGCTAACAGGAGCACAGATTATCTGAAAATGTGCCAGGAAGTGGTTGGAGTAGAACATTAGATAAGTTAAATAAGGGATGCCGTGTGAATGATTACCAACTTTAAAACACCTCTGCTAAAGATGTGCTTGATTTCTATTTTTAGTTTGATCTTTTTCTTTCTTTTAAGTAAGTCTCTCAGAAGAGCATCTCCTCAGCAGTTTCCTAACAAACCTGTCCCCATTCTGCAGGTATCATTTGAGTTCAAGTCTCTTCTGCACTCTCAGCTGGCCAGCGTCTTCTTCGATGAAGTGGTTAAGCAGATGGTTAGTGCCTTTGAGTCACGGGCAGCAAAACTTTACACAAACCAGGAGGAGGTACCGCTGAGGAGGCGGTCGGCATGAGGCGACACCTTTGACCTTTCAACCATCCAGGTGCTTTTGGAGCCCCACCAGCCCACTGTTTTACCTGTTATTGACACTTACACAAGAGACTGGATCTTATCTTTGCACCCATGGTATATTTTTGAATTAACACACATGGAATACACTTAAAGCTATTTATTTGTAAAGCACAAGCTGATTTCTTTACCTTGCCCTACATTTATTTATTTTTGTGTATTCAAATAAAGTTATAGTTTTAAGGCTCATGTGGACACTTTAAAAAATTGTGAGTTAATGTTCTGATAAGTGACTTCTACTGAAAGCTCAAATGTGGTTGAAGACCTTGTCCTGTGCAGTATTTATCAGTGGAATTAAAATGTCTTGTTTTTGGTAAACTCTCTGCTCTGTTTGTGTCATTTGTAGCATTTAAATTTTCTTAATGTTTCCATGTACTGAGCAACATCTGCTGCAAGAAAAGATTTCCAGTGTAGCAGACTAGTAACTGCTTACTCATGTTTGGGTAAGCGTTCTGGATAAATAGCACTGTCAACCTTGATGGCTGATACTGGCAAACAAAGTGATGGCTACCAATGTCGTCCGCTGATATTGGTTATTTTGCATGATTTCAAAAACAGAAAGTGGTGCGTGGAATTTTTATTTTATTTTTATTTTTTATTTATTTATTTATTTTTTTGCAAAGTCATATCTGGTCGTTCCTCTATGCACCTGTTTTATGAAATGGAGCTGCAAAGTGGATTTTCAGTTACCCATAACATGTGCTGGCTTTTTGATAACAAGCTACATGTTCCTCCTCTTTAGCCCGAAGGACACGGCTTTTCCAAACTTCAGTATTTTCATTACTTTTAACACAGTTTGGACAGTTTGTCTGCTTTGTCTGTCCTTTTAATATGCTTAATTTGCATGTTTTAAAGTTTGTTGTTTTTTCTTTTTGTCTTTTAAACTGTACCACACTTTGTTAACTCCACTGAAAGAGGTTTTCAGATGTAGTTCTGAATCTGTGCAATAATTTCAACTACTTGAATTTCTGTTTTGATGTGGTACCACCTGCAGGTCAAATCCCTTCAGTGCTGATTTTTAGCCATGTAGCTCTGTGCAGAAATGTCTCCCAATTCTCTGAATCTGTTAATATTATGGTTTAACCTTGGTTGGGAAAAGCCAATTTTGTGTGTGTGTGTGTGTGTGTGTGTGTGTGTGTGTGAGTGAGAATTTAGAAATGTTTTGAAATTGTAATCTATTTAATTTTTCTTGTCCCCCTGGTTTTTTTTTTTTTGTTGTTTTTTTTTTTTTTTTTTTTTTTTTATTTACTTAGTAAATGCAAGGCTTTGGTACTGATTCTTTCTGTGTTATTTACTTTGATCATGGGGAGCTACTGATCCAGTAATCTAAGGCGCTTGGAAAGAAAAGCCACTGGACTTCAAGTTTCCCATTACTTTCCTGTGGTGGT